AGGACAGCCAGGGAAACTTTCCTACTCAAACAACGTTTTATAAGCGGAAAACCTGTCAATCCTAAAATATAGTGGCCCTTTGTCTGTACTTTCCGAGAAATTGATTGTAACATTCAACAAAATTTTGAGAAAGCTTAATTCACAGTTCGGCTCATAATCTATTTTATTTTTTTCTCAGTTCGTGAGCGGGCGGTATTCTACAAATCCTGCAATCTGATTGGTTCCGAGAGCGGGCAGTATTCTCCCCATCCAGCTCGCTCACAGCGGGCGGCATCCGTTTCGCTTGAGTCACTTTGCAGAACATCTCAAGCTTCGTTCCAGGTTTTCGGTCACGACCTTTTGGCGATAAATAATATTCATTCTTTCTTCTCTCTCGCTCTCAAATCACTTTGCATTTGGTTTTTCAGCAAAAATTGATTTCGAAATAAATTTGGTGGTACTAAACTTGTCCCCGGCCGGGACATTGTGTTGTGTTCTTAGGCAAGACACTTTACTCTCAGAGTGCCTCTCTTCACCCAGGTGTATAAATGGGTACCGATAATTTAATGCTGGGGGTAACCCTGCGATGGACTAGCATCCCGTCCAGGGGGGAGTAAAAATATTCCTAGTCGCTTCATGCTACAGAAACCGGAGTTAAGTACCGGCCTAATGGGCCACTAGGCTCGTAAACAGACTTTTAAAACGATTGAAACGCGGCCTAAAAACAATTTTTTTTAATTTAATAATCCTTCACAAATAGTAAATCAGAACGTTACAACAAGAGGGTTGCAGCTCACAATTACGTTAATCAATGCGACTCTCGTTAATATCTGAATTCTACAAAACAATTTGTTCGTTTGTGAAACTTTGAGCGAAGTTTTGAGTTCTTCTATGAATACACTTTCGCCTTTTCTTGAAAATCCCTTGAATTTAGACATTTCTACCGTAAAATTTCTCATCAGAAACTGGAGGAATTTGATGAATAAAAGTTGCGCGCATTAAATCCCCTTTTGTCTAGCTGGAAAGAGTCTCACTGACTTCAGCTTTTTAGTCGAAGAAATTAAAGACAGATTTACACACACCATAGCAGAAAAATAACACGCAGACTAACAACTCAATTAGACATTTGCCTTCACTTACAATTTGACTTTCTGTGAAAGAGGTAAATCTTCGAAGATTAATCGTCGTTGGAAAGAAACAATACTTTTCGTAAGATCTCTGAGTGTTTTTTTTACGAGAAGATCGTCGCATTGTCACTTTTTTTTTTAACTCGTATGTGTTTGTCACACAAGTACTGTTGTTTATTCGAAAGCGTACGCTTATTTTCTTCTTCAATTGACAGGTGTCACATGGTGACAGTTGCTTGTCAAAATTGTTTCCGAAGTTTGCTCGTAAGCCTTTTCAATTACATTAACAAATTAAAAATATTTCGGTAAAAGCTTTCCCTTTAATTTGAATAACGTCTCTATACTTTATCATCCACTCGCTAACAAATTGTTAAGTTTATGAATATATCAACAAAGTTGAAATGGTGAATTTTCCACCGTTACGGTTATAAAAGCTGACGTTTCGAGCGTTAGCCCTTCGTCGGAGCGAATAGCGGAATTGTCGGTTCTGTGTGCTTTTAAAGGCAGAAAGTGGAGCTACGTGATTGGTGGGAAATGGCAACGAGAAAAACACGAATAAATTAGTGGAATGAAAAGCTTTCGTTGATACCTGTGGGATTTAGACTGCTGGTTTGAAAGATGAGCTTTTGTTCAAGAGTTTTGAGGCTTTCCGTGCTACCTAAGTGTAAGGAAAGACCGCAGATTGCTATACGTTGTTAGGTTTATGGCAGACTCTCCCGTAATTAAACTCGTAATTGTAGCCTTAAATCACTCGGGTTCTTTTGGCAATCATTTTGTTATGTGTTAGAACAAAATAAAAATGTTATTCACCAGCATAGGTCGGTCCGTATTGGGAAAAACTGTGCCCTCTGTCTTGAGTAACGCCCTCGACCTACGGCTTCGGGCGGTATCCAAGACCTCGAGCACAGTTTTTCCCAATAAGGACCTCCCGGCTGGTGAATAACATATATTTCTTTTCGTCTTTTGTGACAACGTTAAGGTTGATGGTCTGAGTTATCGTAGAAAGGGGGAGAAATGGAGATGATTTACTTCTCCATTGAGAGAGGAGTATTTCCAAGGAGCTTATGTGCATGAGGTCATTTGGGAACTCACAGAGAATAGAGGAAACAAAAAAATTAGGATTTTGAAACAAGTTTTCTAATTCTCCTTAAAGAGGATACGAGGTTGTGGTTTCATTTGCATTGGCAACCCCTAAATTTTAATTTAAACCTTTCATTGGTTTTAAAAATAGGCAAACATAAACTTAAAATCTAGTTTTCATCCTTTATTCGGGGGTATGGACAGGTGGGTGCTGAGTGGGTTTGCGTTTCCTCCGTCGCTCCAAACAGAAGAGATTACTGTGTGATGGATGTCCTCCCCTGGAGTGGGATGGGTGGGATATTGGGCGCACTTAATTTGGAGCCTCGCTCTGTTGTACGACCCTCACCACACTCTGGTGAAAGTGATTAAATAAATAGTAGTATCCTTTAAACTTGTCAAATACATATTCCACATAACCTCCGAATAATGATAAAGGGGGAGGGGGAGGGTGGGGCTATAAGTGTGAGCTTCTGTTTCTTGCATTACCCCAAACAGACAAAAATGATTAAGTCAAAAATCAATCAATCAAACAACTTTATTACAATATTTCCCTAGTTCGTCACACATTGCATATGACTCTCTAAAAAAGGTATTCTATCGTTATAAACTGGAAGAGATTGATATAAAAACTTTTTAACCGATCAATTACCAGAGTGTCTCTGAGTCTATCGCTTCTAAGTGAAATTTTCTTTATCTATACGGCGTTGTTTAACAAAGGCTTAAAAGCTTACGAGCCTGCTATAATAGAAACTGTCATTCTAAAGAGGGGATAAAAACACCACAGGAAAGCTTACAGTTGCGAACAAAATCTACTAATGGGTTACTGGTTACTCAAATCAGCTGCCTCACACTAGTTAAAGATACTTAACTTTGAATCTTTCAAGATCCACAAGAAATCAAGTAGGTATATAAATACTCATAAAATATGATGAAATAACTCAGCTAGGTTCATACATACAAAAAACATTTCTGACAAATAATGTCGCACACTAGTCTAGTTTAATACTAGTCCCACATTAGTTTCACGCTTGCCTAAAATGCTTAGTTTTGAATCTCAAAATGCACCAAAAACTGAGTTGGTGATTTAAAAGGCGATGAAACAATTAAGCAAAGCCTAAAGATACCATGTACTTATTCACTGAGAGGGAGGACTCTAAGTAATGACGTTCGGACCGAGCGTAGCGAGGTGCATGCGTTATGAACGAAATTTGAAAAGTTTGTTTTAAAAATAGAACGCAACAGACTGGCATGCGCGGGAAAAGTACAAGAAAGATTCTGCGGTAAAAAAATTTAGTCACAACAAGAAACTCACAATTCATAAAAAAGATGACTTATTTTCCCTTTTTTGAGTTATTTTTTTAAAAAAAAATAACTATATGTTAGCGTATAGATTGGTGTATTGTGGTGTAGTGTAATCTGATCAGCGCAATTTGGTGTATCTCTAAGCAATCTGATTGGCGCATCTTTTTTTTGGTGTATCTCAACGCAATGTGATTGGCCCAATTTTTTGGTGTATCACAAACCAATCAGATTGTAGTATTTTTCGATGTCGCACCAATCAGAGCGTTCTTGCTAATTTGTGGTTTGACAGGTCTTCAAATTTCAGCGAATCAACGCTTGAGTCGGAGAGAGCGGTTCGCGAATTAAGGAAATGTATCAGTCGTGTTGGGAAAGTGGTGGAGTTGTGATCGTTGTACGACTATGCTTATTCTTCCTTCTGAAGGAGACTGNCTCTCTCAACGGGTCCTCGCCATAGTCTTCTAACACCAACCTTTCACACGTACTAAGGTAACCGACATTTCTGTTGTTATCGAGTATAACAAGAAAACAGGGAAGTTAAGATGGACAGTATCGACGATCTAGTCAAGGCGATGAGTTTACCCGGGGTACCTGTTTTTTATTTTTTCATATTCACTCGATGGTTCATTGTCATCCGGATCCAAACCGTCGTGCTGTTCGTAGTGCAAAATAACTTCTGCCACATGTCCTAATGACTCGTAGGGTGGCCCACTCCTAGTTTGATTAATTTCCATAGTCTCTGCACGCATCCAGTAGTCTGTAAGATTTAGTTCGTCATTTGCACTGAGTAAAAAGTCATATCTCTCTCCGGGATGTATCATGATGTAATTAATATCTTTTACGGGTTTAAACCAGTAGCCGTCAGTGTTGACCACAGTCAGTTTATGGTCATCAATGGAGCAACTGTAAGAATAAAGCCCTTGGGCTCCAATAAGCCGAAAGCGATGTCTCTCCGAAGCTAACAGAGAATATACTCAGTCTTGTTTTATTGTATTTAACGTCATCATGTCTGCCTTTGCCATTTATGATTCCAGAAAAGTACTGCATAGGCCCAGCCCCTCCATTGTCAAAACTACGTGTACCATTATACCTTTGATCTGCTCGAGTAGGTACTTCGTCATGGGGCTTGTCTGGATAAAATCCCAAGGCTGCCTGGGTCTGTGTGAACAGGTCCAGGGATGCCTCATGTTGCCAGTCTAGAAGCGTTAAGGTGTGTTGATGTGGTTAGTCTTTAAAACTAATTTCTAGTTCAGTTTGGATTTCCTCCAACCTTGTTTTATTTTCTTTGACTATAAGTGCACCATAGAAGCCATCTGTTCTTTGAGCACCACTGTGAGAGTGGTACCAAAACGTTGCAGAAGGCCGAGCGGTGTTATTGTATGTAAAGGTCGATGAGGGTCCTATCTGACATTGAGTCACTTGCCCTACGCCATCCATCCAAGGTGTTCCTTTCTGATGCATCCCATGCCAGTGAATTGAAATACCTTCAGTGGTGAGATTGTTATGAAGATGAATAATGACCCTTTGACCTTCATGAACTATTAAGTTAGGTCCAGGAATTTGTCCGTTAACGGCTATTGCTATGCGGTACGTTTTGCCATCTACAAACTGGGGATGAGTGCAATCGGTGCTGTCCTGTGTTGAACATGTTCTGTCATCCTGGAGCGGTGTAAGTGACCCATCGTCTTCAAAATAATAAATAACTCCTTGGGATCCTCGCATCGCTATTCCTGTAGGTTCATCCACTGATAACTTTTGGTAGCTGGTGAAGGTTCGAATTTCGTCAATCTCAAGGTTGAAAATACATACACTTTTATTTTACATGGCATTCACACGTTGGATTTCCGTATTCACAGTTGAGAGTTTCCGTATTCTCAGTTGAGAGTTTCCTCATTTCTGGTATTGTGCCTTCCAAATCCACATACCGGTCTTCCCCAGTCTCGTGAAGGTTCCCTGCCTTGTCTCGTAACTCGTTCAGCCGGTCTAAATAGAAAGAATGAATTGAAATAAGAGAGTTAGCTTTGAAATATTAAATTGGTGGCAGGAAGCTGTAACTATTAGTTGTGCCTCAGGGAATATTCGGTCAGTAATAGGGGCATATCGACTCATATCTCCCACTTTATCTTCTACTTTGGACGGATGTGGAGTGGGAGTGCGTGGAATAGAGGCAGGTCAACAATTTGGAAGTTGAAGAGCTAGATACATGACTTGGTGTTAACCTAAAGTCGCATCCTACTGGGATCATGCACTTTCATTTTAGTTTGTTGTCCTTCTTAGAACGAACTATTCTCGAGTGACTTGGTTGATGAACCATTTCCGCCTTAAACAAAACATACTAAACAAAGGCATTCATTCGGCGATTAAGTCGCTGATAGGGTTTTTACAAACTGGAGAAGTCATACTGTTATATCGTGACCTTGTTTTGTTATACTTGTGTTACATTGTATTAAGTTACGTCACGGTTGTGTTACGTGTACATGGATGCGCCTGCGCAGAGATAGAACAGGAATAAAAGGATCTTGGAATGTTCATGTTCATTGCGGGTTTGGTTATAATTTCGTCCTTGAGTTTCCTAAGATACAACAATACCATGGTTAATTAAAGAATAGGAACATTTTGAATTTACCACAGCTCCTCTTGAATGAGCTCTTGACGAAAAACTGTAGATTTCAGCATGTCAGTATTTCAAATATGACTGAAATACGTCTGGCCATAGCCAATCACATTTCACATTCGTGTTTTTGAATCATTTGATCCTACTATGATGTATTTTATACCCTGTAGATATATAAAAACGGTTCTCCTAATAAGTAAAAGATACCGACGCAGGCGCGAAATTTTCGTCCAAAACAGAGGTCAACAGATCTTAACTTTAAGGCCCAGTTCAAACGTCGAATTTCACATGTGCCGAGCTTAACTCCTATCTTAGTGGACTGAAATAGTTAAATACGGCATTTGATTCAAACGTCAAATTTAACTCTGTCGCAATTAACTCTGTTCTCTGTCAATATTCCCTAGCGCACTACTTTAAGCCAAGTTCAAACGTTGAATTTCATATGTGCCGAACTTAACTCCTATTTTAGTCAACTAAAATAGTTAAATAAGGCATGTGATTCAAACGTCGAATCTAACTCAGTCGAATTTAACTCTGTTCGCTGTCGATATTTCCAGGTGCACTACTTATTTGCTAAACGAAGACGTCTATTGAGCGTTTGCTTAATTGCTTCACTGATGCTCTTGTTTCGACCACAAATTGCACTCACCCTACGGGCTCATGCAATTTTGTTACACATCATCAGCGTTTGCTTAATTGCTTCACTGATGCTCTTGTTTCGACCACAAATTGCACTCACCCTACGGGCTCATGCAATTTTGTTACACATCATCAGACACATCATCACTGCACATCATCAGACGTGCACATCTTGAAACCAGGTATAGCATGAGTCTAACGGTAAAAAGTTTGAAAGAGCTTGGGCAAAGGATTTTCTTCCCAACATACGAGAAGAGATCCTCAAGGAAGTCGATTCGCTCAAAGCTGGCCTTCAAGACCTCCGAAAACGATTTGAAGAAATTGAAAAGTCCCAAGACTTCATTTCAAAGAAATGCGATACAGTGATATCAACCATTAAGGACGTAAAAGAACACAATGACAGTCTAAAGGGCGATATTAGAGTGATAAAAGAAGACATTGGGAAGCTTGGAAACGATTAACTGAATGTTGAGATCCAGTTGGATGAGCTTGAGCAGTACGCACGGAGAGATTGCCTCGTTATAACTGGTATTCCGATCGTACCAAATGATAACCCAGCGTTGCTGGTAAAAGAATGTCTGAGATTATGGGAGTGAACCTCAGCCCAAACGATATATCGATCGCTCACCGTTTGCCGCCAACGAAGAAAGTGAAAGATCGACTGATCGTAAAATTCACTTGAAGAGAGAAAAGAGACGAAATCTACAGCAACAGGAAAACATTAAAATCTAATAGGACTAAAGACCTTCCGTCGGTGGTCTGCGAGCCGGAATCTGTGGCTGTAAGTCATAAAGCACTAATTCATGTCAATGAAAGCCTGACGCCGTACAGAAAGCGACTACTGGGAAGAATTTTACAATTCAAGGGTGACCGTAACTACAAGTTTATCTGGACGGCTAACGGTAAAATAATGCTGAAGAAAACGGAGAGCTCTATTACGAAATGTTTTGTGACACGTGAGGAATTCGAAGAATTCCTCGATCAGCTTGATTAACTATAGCTCAATTTAACGACCTCTATAAATGTGTACTATTATGGATCTAGACATGGCTAATCACCAAGAAAACGTAAGTAGTTCTTTACCATTTTATGGGTTAACTGACAGAGAATTTTATGCTATGGTTGGTAGCTGGCCGGATGGGCGCCATGATGATCTTGACTTCCGCGATCTCCTCGCTAATCCAAATAAATTCGATAAATGCGACCCAGATTTAATGTTAAATACTTCTTGCTCAGAATATTATTCAGTCCGTAGTTTTGATAAAATGCTAGTTAAAACAGCCGCCAAATATTTTTCAATTCTTCACTGCAATATCGGAAGTCTGTCTAAAAACCTAAATTTTTTGGAAGAACTTATACTCCATTGATACCAAAGTGGATATTCTTGGAATTACAGAAACCGAATTGGGTGAGAATTCTGTGAGTAATGTAAATATCAACGGCTATAATTTATTTCACACACTCTCCAACAAAGGCGGGTGGAGCCGCTCTGTATATCGCTAATAATCTTAAAGGAGTACCTAGGCCTGATATTAAATTTGATATAAAACTAGTTGAATCATGCTGGGCAGAAATTGATACTGGCAAAGGTAAAAAGAATATTATAATAGGCTGTATCTACAAGCATCCTACTTGTGATCTAGAACAGTTTCGCAACCAACTAAATGATATAATCCAATAATAATCAAGTCAATTAATTCCAATAGGCATGAAATTTACATCTTTGGAGATATGAATATAAATTTCCTGAAATTTAATGAACACGTCCAAACTGAAGACTTCTTAGATATGCTCTATGCCAACAACATCTTACCAATCATTACTAAACCTACCAGGCTTACTGATGAATGAATGAATGAACTTTATTTATCGTCGATAACGTGGGAGTAGTCACCCAATCTCCCGAGCCAAGGGCTCATGTATAAAACGCTCGACTAAAGGAAATACAAATTAAATAATAGATAAATATCGATATGAGATATAAAAGTTCATTAAACTATATACAATAAAAATTGATATAAAAGTTAAAAAAAAAAGAAAAAAAAGCTACAAGTTACAACTCTGACATTGACATGCTTTATACTCTACATTTTTTATTAATGATTTGAAATGCTGGACCATAGGAGCTGATTTGGTAGACAATGGCTATTTATTCCACACATGGGCAATAAAGTAAGAAAAAGAATTATGCATAAAACTATTATTATAAGATGGTTGGGAGACGTTTAATCCACTACCTCGTAGGTTGTAGTTGGTAACCCTAGGCTTAAAAAGATTAGATCTAGTTAGGGCCGTGCGTCCTAAAACTTTGGAAAAAGACAGGGAGTGAATGTTCGATACGTCTTTGCTCAAGTGAGGTCATTGAGGCGATAGATAGACAAGCGTCGTAAGTGACTGAGTTCCCTAAATTTAAAATAGATCTTAATGCATAATGATTGGCACGTTCAAGTTTGTTGTTCAATGTTCGCGAAATCCCTAGCAGTAATGGAGAACAGTATTCAAAGTTCGGTAGCACGTAGGCTTTGTATAAAGTGATCATCACATTTGAAGGAACCAATCGCTTTATTTTAGGTAAGACGTTTATTTTAGGGTAAGCTTTTATTTTAGCATAAAATCCACATGAGGCTTATAATTCAGATCCTTGTCCAAGTTTACGCCAAGAATTTTTATAGTAGACTCAATGACAATTATCTGATCCTCCACTCAATAGCGGTATGTGAACTGAGATTTTCCCAGAGTCATTGCTTGCGTCTTAGCTGCGTTGACTTGAAGATGGTTAGCGGAGAACAATTGTGTTAGTTTTATAACATCATGATTTAGGGTAGATTCAAGCACTACAGGAGACGTGTGGGCTGCGTACTGTGTTGTATCGTCTGCGTATAGACGGAGTGAGGAGGTGCCGACTTTATGATTAACATCATTAACAAAAATAATGAAAAAAAGGGGACCTAGCAAGCTGCCTTGAGGAACTCCACACCGAACTGGTAGCCAATCAGAAGAACTCCCATTGCATTTCACTCTTTGGAAACGGTCAGTGAAATACGACTGAATGAGCCTAATGGCAGACTCTTGACAGCCATACGCTCGTAACTTAGCAAGTAAAAGATTATTGAGTCAAATGCTTTGGATAAATTAATTACAATCAACCCTACATCCTTTTCCGAGTCCAGGGCTAGACGCCAGTCTTCCGTTAGTTTGAGTAAGGCAATACAACAGGAATGACCGCGAAGAAAACCAGACGTATTGTCCGAAAACAGAGGTGAGAAATGACGATACAGCTGATCAAACTTAAGTTTTTCGAAGACCTTAGGGATTGTTGAAAGGACACTGATGGGGCGATAATTGGACTTTGATGTTTCATCCTCTTTCTTATAGACAGGTGTCATATTAGAGAGTTTCCATTGGCTAGGCCACACACTGAAGATGATGCAGCGATTAGATAGCTTTGTAAGAGGCCCAGCAATAACAGGAGCTGAAAGCTTAAGCAATTTGGGTGATAATCCATCTGGGCCAGCAAATTTCCTAATGTTCAAATTAGCAAGTGATGCAGCGAGATACACTGACTGGCTCGAATGAAAAGTCTAGCTTTGGCGCACTATTCTTGATGGCTAAGACACTTGAGTGGTTCATGAAGTCATCCACAGAAAGTTGTAGGAGACACACGTCAATTGAAGGTGTTGTGAAATATTTGTTGAACTGTGCGCTAGGATCAGGAACAAAGGCG